ATATATATATATATATATATATCAAAAATAGCTCATAATTTTAATTATAATCAATCAGTATTAATCTACCGTTATAAAAACAGCAGAAGCTGTTTCTGTAGCTCGATTTAAAGCTTCATCTGGCTTAACTGAACTGGAAAGCATTGTCTGTATTTGTAAAATATCCTTTAGTCGTCTCTCTAGGAACAACCATGTTTCTTTGTGGTCTTCACTTGTATCTTGCAACATGTACAATTCAGTAGCTTTATAAATAGTCGCTAGTATCATTCTCCTGGCATACCAGTTAATCTAATCAAAGTAATGTACTCTATTTAAACAGCACATCCGAACAATATCTTCCTTATACTAATAGATAAATATTAGTGATACGACTTACATCAACCGATCTATCGCCGGCATAGTAGCAGATATCATCGACTAAAGTTAATAAATTTGCTAAAGCAGTTGGTACATTCGGTGGAAGAGACATAATAGCCATTGCTTGTGGCCAGGTTTTTTTGTAGGGAACCACCATTCTCAACCGTGTTTCTACAGCGTCACGAACTTGTTGTTCTGGTGTTTTCTGCGAACTTGAAGAATCCACTTCTTTTTTTAGGATTTCATTTAATTCCCGATTACACATAGAATAAAAATACTCCACTAAAGCCGCACTACCTCTTGGAAACAATCCATGTATCACACCCGGATATCCAATTGATTCAGCACCTTTAACATCATATCCGATTATATCATTTTATTTAATTTGTATATAAATATAACGCGATATCTTAACAAACGATAATAGAAAAATTAATTATAAGATAGAATAGAATATAAAAAAATAATGATTTAAATTACCAGCACTAATAGCCTGTTTGCTCCATCCCATGTCAGGAACAAATTTTAAAGAAGCGCCAAGTATTTTTAACTTAATATTTTTTTCATATTCCTCATCATTCTCCTCATGAGTACATTGTTGTGATTCCGCTTTTCTATTGTTATTTTCAAACTGATCGGCCAGCAAAGCCCTAGAAGTCCATAAACGTCTAAAACCTAATAAAATCAATATCTATTTTTAAAATTATCTAATAATAATAATAAGATATGCGTTAAATATATTACATAAAACATAAGAATTATTAGCAGAAATTAATTCTAGTTTTAGTGTAATTTTTATCACAAATATGATATTAATACAGTATACAATCTAGTTAAAAAATGTTTTTATTAAATTTAAACAATTACAATTTTACGATCTTAAACAATTATAAGTATTTATGATAGTATGACATTTTCATGAGTGATTTTATTTCTATTCTAATATATTTATCAGATTTCTCCACCAATTTTTCAAATCTCCGTTCATACATTCATTAACTCGTATAAGAATGCTTTCCATTACATCTAAACCATTTATCACTTGATAACAGACAGAAATCTTTTCGTGGAGCGGCATAACTGGTAATTGTTCACCACCAACAGTCAATGTAACTTCCATATGAGCCTTCATTAACTTGCTATAATCTTGATTTTTAGCTAAATCCTTTTTCTGTTGCTCCAAATCTTTTTTCTTCACAATCCAATGTGCTCTGCATAAGTCTATACCTTCTCTTAACGGATTCAAATAATTAGTTGTCAGTGTATATGTCATGTTCCAAATACCTGTCTCATTGTTCTTATCTCTGATAAACAAAAATCTTAGTAAGTTCAGCGTAGTAATGATTTCGTCTGATATTTCCACCACATCAGACGAACTTCCATGAGACAGATTGCAAATCTTTTTCAATAACAATTCCATATTTTTTCCAAGAAATTGGGGATTTTGTGGGGTTGAATCGAGACATTCAATGATAGAAGATTTAAATATGCCAGTGATAAAGCTTAATAGGCCAGAATGTTCGATATTCTCATATAAATACAAGATGATAGTATACCTAGCTTCCATGTTAAATATCTCAATATAGTTTTGAAAAATGCGTACTGCCTTCTTCCGTTGCTCATCATTATTAGAGTAAATCATCACTTTAGTGATTGGTTGAAACAATTCTGTATATATTTCCAGGCTTAATACCTCAGAGTCTAAGGAGCGAAGTGAAATGCGTTTTATAACATTTTCCATAAAAATTAATCCAGTGGAGATTGAATAATCTTCGCTAAGCAGTATTTTGAAAAAGTATGCACATGTTTCAAGGATATAATAAGAATTATATATTTGTGGTACATTTATCCAATAATTTTCTTGAGTAATTACGTAAAAATAAAAATTAGCATAAGCCATATTAGATATGTTATGACTCCAATCTATTGTAAAACAAAAAGAAGATTCAATATTTCTTTTTAGTTTTAGATATTTGTCTAGTATTTTAACATGAGATTCTCTTTGACGTTTGCTAACAGTATCTAAAAAATATAATATATCTCCAGTGAGGTAAAGTGCTTGTGTTACTATGTTATCCGCAATTTCTTTATATGTTATTTCTTCACTGATGTATTTGTTCAAACAGCAAAAAGGTTTCCCACACAGAAAAATAAAAAAACTCAAGAGACGATCTCCAAGTAGAGATCCTTTCTCCTGCTTAGAATTGATATCTATCGCCTCTTGCACTAATGGTTCTAGAAACACTATGATTGCCTTATATGTATTTATAATTCTGTCACTAGCTCTTTCTGGATCATTGGTTTCATCTGGCAGTGGTAGATTCCCAAGGTACGTCTTGATTGCATCAAAGTACCAATCGATGGTTTTGCTCTTGTTTCGTGCCAGCATTAAACAAGTCTGTATTGCACCCAAGATGGTACAGAAATTTACATGGTCAGTCGCCCATTTTAAATATCTTGGAAATTCTATTATGGCTATTGTAGGCTCGCAATTCTGAGTTAAAAACGTCAATACATTTAAACAGCAATCGAACATCGCTTTGCGATGTTGTAACACAAAGCTCGTGAGATTCGGAACGATGGCAGACATGATGTCGCATAAGCTATTTTCAGTCATCAAATGATCCTCTTTTAAAAGCTGTATAGCTTCTGCAGTTTTACACTCGTGCATAAGGTCGGTAACTCGGCTGATAAATACTTTTGTCATCTTGGTAAAGCTTCCGATGGCGAAAACATATAAAAAGATTACATGCAGATAACACTATTCTTCGAAAAAAGTATTTATATTACTTTCTATATGTACTTATGTATTTACCTTTTTGTGTCGATCTCAAGTAATTCCTGCTCTATTATTCGCCACTTGTTCGAAAGATTTTTTTCATCAAAGAAATATGCAGATACGAGATATTCCTTATTTTCGCCCTTGAGGAGGAAACATCAAACACGAGTCTCTCTCTCGAAAACGCGTCTTTAAGCGAGGTTATGTCTCTTCGCGCAAGAATTTGATTTAGGTTACACAAAATGTCACGCACCCTTCTACTGTCAACGCGAAAAGGCACGGAATTGGGTAGAATGGAATCTAACAACAATCAGATTCGATCGAGAGCGAGCGGTTGACCGAAAAGTCAAAAAGACAAAGATTCCTAGAAAAAAGGTTCCGTAGGTAGGAAGAAGGGTAGGACAAAGCAGGGCAAAACGTGGAACGGAAGTTCGACTCGCGAGCGTCGCTAACAATTCGCTTACCGGTCGCTGCAAATTTGCTCCGTGCCAAGCGGAACGAATTAAACATCGCCATGTCACTGAATATCTCAAACTCCTATCGCTAAAAAAATTCCGAAAAATGCAAACCATGCATGTTCTTGAGATACGATTAGAATTTCGTTGAATTTCGCGATACTGTTTCTAGTTTCTACATCTGACGGTTGCGCCGCGGCGTTTCTCAGACCTGATGGGTCAAGGCTGGATTATATATTCAAAAGCACATTTTTCGGAGGAATCTGAAAATGATAATGCGATGTGTTCCACTTAATAATGCAGAGTTAAAAATAATATTGATGTTAATAAAGATCAGGTGCACAAGATAAGTCTAACCTGACATGCATATTAAAGAATTGAAAGACATGGCAATGCATGGAGATCACATGGGATTCAGCCAATCAGAGAAATGAAACTTTGCTTTTTTTTTTATTCCAATTGAAGCATAATGTTGATTGGCTACGTTTCATCGCGGTTTACCGTCGGGACCAATGAACACACGCCCACGTCGATTCACGTCGGAGCCGTCTGCTTTTGTATACTCGTGAATGATGTCTCTTTTAACCTCAAATACGCTCTGCGCAATTTCAGTTTTGTGATCGAAGAGCGCTTGATTAAAGTTGTCGCGTTTGATTAAATCAAACGAGAAGATTTCACCGCAGGAATTTCTTTAGAAATGGGCGATTCGGACGAGGAGAATTACGCAACATTTGGTGTTCCTCTTGATCCTTTGGACGAAGGTATACAAACGGAATAAATTATAGTACTTAAGGATATATTGTATTATAAATATCCTTTTTGTGTTATATTAAAAAGTTTTGATCTCACACAGAGAACATCCCGCGAAAGAAGCCCATCACGATCGAGGAGCAATATGCATATGACGCCCAAGGTAGACGTAGGTTTCACGGAGCTTTTACAGGCGGTTTCTCAGCAGGATACTTCAACACCGTCGGCACTCGCGATGGCTGGAGACCACAGCAATTCAAGTCTTCTAGGAGCAGCAAGGCAGACAACGTTGTTCAGCGACCAGAAGATTTTATGGATGAAGAGGACACCAGTCTTTTCGGGATAGCTCCTAAAGGCATTCGAGCCACCAGCGATTATGCTGATCATGGAGAGAAAGGAAAAAAAAGGGAGAGGATAAGCCAGGAAGGACCTATCCCTGGTACTCCTATCTTAAAGGAGCTTTTAAGACAAGTCAAGTTAGTATTTGCAAAAATTAGTGGTCATTTAATTTCTGTTAGTTTAAATTGAAATTGTTAACAGTATATTTTTGTTTGAGAAAAAAATAGAGTAGCGCATTAATTATTTATTAGTGCGTTTAATTTTGGAGTACAAATTCCATTTAGATTTAAAGTGATAGTAATTTCAAAAAGTGATAATTTTAAATATTTATAATTACAGAGAAACAGTGGGTATCGTTTTGCTCAAGAAGATGGGCTGGAAACCTGGTCAAGGTGTAGGTTCCAGATTGACAAAAAAAGAAAAGCAGAAGATAAAGCTGCGTAATGAAAAATTAAAACTAGCACAGGACAATCCCGAAATAACAGGAAGCAATTCTGAGGATTCGGATGATGACCCCACTAATATTACTTTTGCACCTGACGATTATGAGCCATTCCGGTGTAAACCGAAAGATAATTATTTTGGCATTGGTTACTCGGGTTTAGATAGGCGAAAAGTCCTTTCCAGTCACATCAATCTATTTGACAATCCAGCTTTTTGCATCCAAGATAAAAATAAGAAATTGTCGATTCATGGCCAGGCGTTTGGAGTTGGTGCTTTCGAAGCTGACGATGAGGATATATATGAGAAGGAAGACATGTCGAGTTACGATTTTGCTTTGGGCCCCGAGCGTAAGGCAAAGACAAAATGGTCTCAGGATGGACCGAGTAGTTCGCAGACCGATTGTCTGGACAATTTTACACATGCGAAAGAGAGACTGGAGAGCAAGAAATTCTTCAAACCTCCAGAATTGCCGAAGAATTTTGCACCGGTACACGCTATTAGAAAAAGTAGGTTTTATCCGCCGATTACAACCCCGGTAGAAAATCAACGCAGGGAACCATTGAACGCCACAGATAGAGCGCGAATCTTGGAAGACCCTGATGAATGTTCGAAAAAGCCACAGACATCATCGAGTACGTCTGTTGCCTCTAATATTATTTCAAAAACCTTGAATTTGCATGGTAAACAACAAACAGAAGAGAGAAGAAAATTGGAGACACAACAGAAAACGACGAGCAACTCGTGGCTGGACAAATTAAACGCACAAAGCTTCGTCAAAGGTGGTATTGTTGGTTCCAGCAAAGACGATATGAATAACTTAAAGAAATTGGAAGATTTTAAAGAATCTTTGTCTGCGCAATCAAGCATTGATAAATCAATGGAGAACGATTTCTCAGATAAGGGTGAAACGAAAAAATTATTCCTGTCTGATCCGGATAAACAGAGACGATTCGAGCAGTATCTTATCTTCTCGAAGAACGGCGAAAAGGATAAGTTCGAAAGTATTCAACCACTTTCTATGACTAATTGGGAGAGAGAGCAAGAACGCGAAGAATTCGAACAAGCCACAAAACTGGAGCAATCGAATAATTATATGGCGGATAAGTTTGTACATAGTGCTGATGATACAACGGACAGAGTGGATCCGGAAAAGGACGTAAAGGAAGCGGTAAGATTGAAAATGTTCGGCAAACTTACGCGACAACGGAGTGAATGGAAGCCGACGAATATCGTTTGCAAAAGATTTAATATTCCCGAACCGAAAGTCGGGTGCGCACCGATCGCAACGGATAAGAAATCAGCCAGATTCTCAGTCTTTGATTCCTTGGACTGGTGTAGTTCATCAAAATTCACGAAAGCCGTGGATACAGTTAAGACACAAGTGGAAGACATTCCCTTGCCATCAAGTAAAACGGAAGAAAATTTTAACGAAACGGTTCCCATTGGCTCCAACGATATTCCGTCTAGCATTTACCAACCTTTAGAACCTATTTCTGAAAAATTTAGAATTTTCGAAGCTTCCTATGAAAAAGTTTTCGGCAAAGGTATTCACAATATTTCTTCCGCGACAACAAAAGATGTCGAACAAAATACAGGAAATAATTTAAAAGATGAAACAATTCAAGAAATAAAAGAAAAGGAAAAAACACCTGAGCCGGTATCTGTGCTTAAAGATCAATCGGAAGAAAAGAAGGATCTGTTCAAGGCGATCTTTCTCAGCAGCAGCGAGGATTCCGACAGCGAGACGGAGGATAATGTTGACAACGATGCTGTCAAATCGATTTTGATTGGAAAAGATCCGAAGGAGATAAATATCCAACGCAATACATCGCCGCCACGAGGAATCTTTGCGAAACTAGATCTTGACAGCTTGGTGACACAACCGAAACACGTTAATGACGAAAGTAAGACGTCTAACATTTCAGAACCTAGTCCGCCAATTATTGGTGAATCGCAGAACGATCTTATAGATCGTAACGATGTAACTAATGATAAAGAGACTGCGATACTGCCAGATATGTACGGTCCGGTCCTGCCACAAAGATTATTGAAACAAGACAGTAGTGCAACAACGACAGAAGCTGATAATACTAATCAATTGTTCAAACCAGTATTTCGAAGTGTCGTGGTATCGAAAACTATGGAGGATTCGAAACTCGGTGGAAAATGGGTGGAACGAGACAAGATAAAAAAATCGAAGAAGAAACATAAACATAAAGAGAAAGATAAATATAAGAGCTCAAAGCATAAGAAAAAATCTAAGAAAGAGAAACGTTCGAAGCGTTGATTTCTGTTTATTTGATGATTCGAGTAACATAGATAAATCGATTTACCATCAAGTAATGAAAATATTTTTTAAGTACGCATCATAATTATATAAGACATTCGAGATGCTTTATGCCCAATTAAAACTGTTTATACATTGTTTAATTATAATGATATTTATTATTTATGCACTATTTCGCGATGCATATATGTACAGCTGTAATATAAACTGAAAATATATATTTAGACTGCAGTTCTGATTATGTTAACAAATCTAACACTATTTATAATTTGATATAAGGTACTTAAAATAACTCTGGGATACAGTCAGTAATACTTTATACATTATATTTTCCAATGATTGTACATTGTACAAAGGATATGTATATTTTACACACATTCATATTCACGAGCCATCTTTTATCTGTGAAAAATTTTCATAAGGTAGATATATATATATATATATATATATTAAATGGCGACTACTTGTTTTGGATATTAAAACATTGTAGATATCGTGGTTTAAGGATTTAAGACGCTATGAACATACGAGAATACACATGTACGTGCATTTTTCTATTAAAATCATCCCGATATATCTAAATACGAGTTTTGAGCAGTCCGCCTTTTTATTATAGTGTCATCGAATGTAATATTTCTCTCTCTCTCTCTCTCTCTCTCTCTCTCTCTCTCTCTTTCGAAATAATCGTGACATCTAATCAAAATATCAAGTCTCTTAACAAGATCACACATGTGGGATTATTAATTCGATGTCATGGAGTTCCTTGAAGCAGGTCTGCTAGAATTGCCGGTTCCAGTCTTTTTCTCTACGCTGAAAAGGCATCATAACTTTTATTAAACATTGCTATATTTGAATTTTTCAAATAATAAATTCTTTTGTCTTCTATGTGTTCTATTTTTATGCATATTAAATAATTTGCAATTTTTTGATGTACCTGCTGCTTCTTGAACCTCTTTTGAACATGGCTGTTAATTTCTTCTTTAGGTTCTTCTTTTCCAACTTAAGGGTTTCGTTGATGCTGGTTTCAGAACCAGATGTCTGTCAAGTATTGGATCATTTTAATAAATAATGTTCTATTTGCGTAAAAATAATTTCGAATATTTAAATATCTTCTTGCCTGAAGCGAATAGTCGGTCATGTTCGGATCATCGACGCTAGACGATTTAGTTAACTTATGTGTCAATTTTCGTATTATGCCCTTGCCATATTTCTTGTCCCGATCTAACATTTCGCTCTTTGTTGACCCTCCGGAAAGGCGACTAAATATAATAATTATCATTAATATATTCATTATCGGTATTATGTATATATTTCGAAAGATCATGTAATGTTACGAATAATATTTCGATACCTATCTACACTGGAATCTCTCTGTCGACTAGTTCCGCGAGATTCGACTTCTGATCCCTCTAATGATTGCATGCTCGACAAGTTACTATCCGTACCCCAAATACCTGTAGACTATTTTTTATACAAAAGTTAGCAGTAATCAAAAGAAGAAAGATTACAATTCTATAATATTTTCAGATTGTAAAAATTGGTATCTTTTTGAGATCGAATTTCATACAGAGAACAAGAGATGTAAACAGCATATTTGGCATAAGACCTCATCTCAGAAAATTATTTCTTATACCTCACAGAGAGATTTTCTGTATAATAAGCATCCTGTTTACCTCCTGGTGCCCAGACGTTTGTTC